TTTTTTTTTCATCAGCGCCGCATCTGAAAATCGTCGCCGCATCGATTTTTATTTTATAAACCATTATTATTACTCTTTCCTAAAATACTCGACGGTCGCAAAATGTCCCCAAATGTCTCAAAATGTCTCTGCGTTCTCTTGGGCAAGGCGCACCATGCACTGTGCTGCAAAGTCAAGTGACCGGTCGACCTGATAAAACGTTTCGCAAAACCTTGGCGGCGAACAGGGCGAGAGTTGGAGGTAGTTACTGTTTGTAAACAACCAAAATGGCCGCCACTCAGAGCATTAAAAGTATATCTGTCCGAACTGCAGCACGTTTCAATTTACCTCTCTATTTTTGCTAGTCCTTAAATGAAAAATATGTCCCTGTGGCACCAGTGGGTTGACACCATTGATGGAATGCCTTCGTTGTAAACTAGAAAAAAATTCAAATGCACTATGTATCACCTAATTATTTACTTTACTTTCATTAAGAATAACATTTTGGTACATGCAGTTTCGTCCATTTTATTTACATTGCCTATAAAAAAAAGTAATCTAATTTGGCCTCGATGCAACAACAATAATTTTAAAAATGGCGTGATGCATTTGAATTTTGAAAAAAAAAGTTCCGACGAGATAAATAGGATAAATAGCTTTGCAGTTTTTGCAGTTTTTGACGGGACAACGTAGGCATCTCCGTAGTTGTCTACTGCCAGAATACTCGTATGTATTTGGTCAAATCATTACTGTAAGTGTACCCTATTTCCGAGCTTTTACCAAAAGTGTACCCTATTTCCGAGTTTTTACCATAAGTGTACCCTGTTACCGAGTTTTTTTTTTTTATCCTTTCTGTTGATTCCTCCCATTCTAATTAATCATGTGTTGTCAAGGCTGGTTATGTTGCCCTTGGGAGGCGAAGCTCCAAATGGGCTAGTTAGGGTTGCGGTGCCTCCATTGGCAGTTTGTCATTTTCTTTGAAAGTTCGTGATAATAATGCCACCCGTTTGCTTATAGTGCATCCGCTCTGTAACAGCTGCCCAAGTTATCGTACTGCAGAGTATTTATGTATGTTTCTCCATTTAGCATAAGAACGAGGTAAGAAATAGAGAGCAAGAGCAGCTAAAAGTAGGCCTGCAGGCAAGGACCAGACTTCGCCGCCGTGCCCATCACTCGGCCGTCCAGGACCCACACGCGATCAGCTGACTCATCAGACTCCGAATCGAGAGACGAAGACCCGGGGCCTGAGTGGCGCAGCGGTAGAGCATTCGCTTCTTGTCGCCGCTGCTCAGGGGGGCCCAGGTTCGAATCCATTCTGTGTGAATCAGCCTGGGCCCCGTGCGACGTCTCCCGCTGCCCCGTGGGAGGAACTGGGTGCTTCGGTACCCGGGGGAAGGAGGACAGTTCTTCCCGGCCCGGTGGCAACAAAAATCCAAAATGCCACCCTACCCGGGTCGGGGGGGGTTGCCCTCCTTCTTTTTTCCAGAAGTTCCGTTAAGTTCGCCGTTTCCACTTCAGGAGGAGCCGTTTGCAGGCGATGAAAATATTTTGAAATGAAGAAAAAGTGCCGGCAGGAGAAGGACCCCGGAGTAAATCTTGTTGAGGAAGATGGAGCAACAGGATTTCGGACTGTGTATCACAACCTTAATACACTAGTACGTTTTGAGAGTAATTATGATCATGTCTGCAGTCGTTATAACTAGGAACTGTAAAGGCGGGGTTGTTATTCTACTAAAATCGGTGGTGTAGTACCTGCTGTAGTAATGATATTGCTAACAGTGATACTTATCAGTAACGGTAATAGTTGCCTTGCGCTTATGATTAGTGACAATCGTGGCAATTGTAACAAATTAGTCATGACGATGGTAGGAGAAGCACCCTCGAAGTAGAAGCAAATGTGTTCACACAATTGTCCCTTTAATACCAGCATTTAAAGTAAAAAAAAAAAATAAAAAATAAAAAAAAAAGTCTCCATACCCCCCCCCTCCCCCCCTCACTGGGATGTGATCTGAAACCATGGTTCGAGGCTCCACATTCTCATTTTGATTATATGATTCTTAAAAGTCAGTAAAAGTATACTTGCATTCTGCAAATTGAATGCACATACAGTGAAAGCGAAACAATTATAACATGTTTATTTGCAGCAATAGATGTTTTTTTTTTATTGCAGCTACACAATATTCCCACTGATGTACACCGGAAATGCTCAAAGAAAATATCTCGCGAGCAGCTACGGCCAGACTTAATCCTTTTATGTTTGCCATGACAATAGTAGTTTCAGGACCATTTTCTTGGGGAATAATTTTCAGAGTGACAGCAGGTGACACGGAAGCACACGACCGACATCTCACTCAGATTTCAACTCAAAATTCATGCACAAACACAAATGCGCCACCACCATCACCCTCATCATTATCATCAATTTCATCACCCTCCACCACCACCATCATTATTATCATCATCATCATTATAACCACCGTCTTCACCATCATCATCATTATAACCAACGTCATCATCACCATCACTATCATCACCATTTTTAGATAGTTTTGATCCGGCTACGTTGATGATGACTAAGAGACTTGCATAAATCACATAAACATAGGAAAAAGGGGACAGGGGAGTGACCGCCCGCCCCCCCCCCCACTATAATGGAGGTGGGCGGAACCCGACTTCTTCCCCCCACTCCTCACCATTTAAGGACACTCCCTGTAAACAAACCAACTGTGCAATTACTTGGTTACCCAAATGTTGAGAACACTGACCCCCCTGCAGCTGGTCAAAATGAAATAACCATTATGTCAAGCATTATCTACATCAGAATATCCAACATTTTAGTGCAGAATAGGTTATTTTTTCAGTTGTCCCTACTTTGCCTCCCCGCTTTCAAAATGCCTTCCTACGCCTATGCGGATGGTTTCCAATTATCCTCCACGAAAGACGTCGAGTGGCAAGACAATCCACCGTATTAAGAGAATGCTGTAAAGACCTTTTCTTTCGATAATTTTATGTACTTTTTTATAGTTTTTTTCTTTTCTTTCTTTTCTTTTCACCAGGAAAGGTGAGTGCTTTCGGAGATACAGAAAACGTGTCAGTAAATTCGATATGGAAATTAATAAATTTTCTGTAGTGTAGATCGAGGAAAGAACGTCTTCGGCGGTTTATGATTCGAAAATAAAAGTTCATCATCATCATCTGGGAGCTAACGCCGACGGGGACGCATAGCCGCATCCATCCTTTGTTTCCACTTATGAGGGTCCCTCATGGCAAACCGCCAGCAGGGACTCGGCCCATCTCGAGCTCCTCACGACAGGTTTGGTCGATCTGCCCAAGCCACGACTTCCTAGGTCGTCCCACAGGCCTCCTCCACCCTGTATTGTCTCGTATAGAGACAACCTGGTGGGCCAGGGTCATCTGTGGGAAAGGAGCCAACTGGCCGTATGGCCTGAGTTAGTGCACATGGATTGTGCATGTAACAGGTCCTGTGCCAGTCTCACAGTGCAACCGTTGGTTGGACACGTGATCCCGCCAACAGTACCCCATGATCCGGCGCAAGAACCTATTACAAAAGGCATCAAGACAAGACTCCAAGGTACATTATAATGTCCAGGTTTGACTTCCGCTTAGCAAAACTGGCATTACCAGGGCCTTGAAGACACGGTGGCGGGTCCTTCTGCCAGGTACCGGTAATCTCCAAATACCAGGGCCCCGGGCAAAGAATAGGGCCGGGCCCTTAGGGACACATCCTTTTTAGGTGGGAAACGCCCATTTTTTCCCCTTAAACTTTTATGTTAATATAAACTATGTTACTCGAACTTACAATCAAGAATATGTTACTAATATCATATAACCAAAAGTAGCGCTAGCTTGGCAGAAGATTCAGGACATTTTTTAACAACTTCCTTATTCTTATTTTATCTTTAATAGCAAAATCTTGTTAACGTTAATTGCTATAACGTTGTTTAAGTATAAATACACCCTATAAATTTGCTGAGTTAGTTGTTCTTGGAGTCAAATAAGCGACCTGTAAATTTTTACAGGCCCCGGGATCGTTGCCCCGGCTATCCCCCCCCCTGTCGGCAGTCCTGCCAAATACTCTTGTCGAGAGAGTTCATGACCCCTGCTGCCAGGCCAATCCGTCTGCTGACTTTCTGGTCTGACTGCCCAGAGTTATGAACTACACTACCAAGGTATGTAAAGCTCTCTGTGACTTTAATGCCCTCGCACGTACCGACCGAACAGGTTCTAGCAATTTCCAAAAGTCCTGGATCTTGGTCTTGGTCCAGGAGACCTCTAGACCCAAGGGCTTCTTGGTCCTGGTCCAGGACCCTCTAAGACAACAAGGTTCGTTTCAATACTAAATGTATCCAGAGCCACCACTAAGGTTTCCATAGACTCAGATAGGACAGCATCATCATCAGCAAAGTCAAGGTCTGTAACCTTGATATTGCCCAGCGTTGCTCCACAGTGACTTTGAATAGTAGCTCTGCCCAGTATCCAGTCCATGCAAGTGTTGAAAAAGTTGGTGCAGGGCACTGCCTTGCCCTCACTCCTGAACTAACAGGAAAGAAAGCTCGACAGCTCTACAATGAACTCGAAGGGCAAGGAATGCTGTCTATTGAGGACTTACTAGGAGTGAATCCGATTTGCTCCGGCTTCTGGTGCTCAGTAGGTGGTCGCTCATAAACGTCCAGAAGGATGTGAGCGAAAACCTTGCCTGGTATACTGAGGAGTGTAATGCCTCGGTGATTGCTGCAGTACCATCGGTCCCTTCCCCCCATCTCAGAGAGGGATGACCACACCCTCAACAGGTCAGGAGGTACCGCCAGATAGCAGCCAGGACAGCATGTGACCCACGCACCATAGGCTCACCACCAGCCTTTAACAGTTCAGATTTGCCACAGATACCTGCTGCTTTGCCACTCTTCAGCCCCCCTAACTTCAGTAAGGGAGGGTGGATCCTCACTGATGGGTCGGTCTGGCATCGGAATCTTGGCACCCCCTTGTATCCAAGTTAACTTTTAGTGGGTCAACCTGGTGCAACTGCTCAAGCCCAATGCTCCCGCATCGCAACTGGATCTGAGACGATCTGGCCACTTACTATGGGAACTGCTGTCACCAGTGAAGAGGGCTTGGAGTCCAGTTTTCTCAGGGCTTGCTATGCAGAACGAGAAGGTCATTTACAAAGAAATGGCCTTGACCTCCTCTGTAAGACTACTAATAAACTGTTCCTTGTCCCTTCTTAATAGCGACCGAGTTCTACGCACCTGAAATCGGTGCAAATCCCGACACCCTTGTCAGACAAGCCACACAAGCATCTGTAGCATCTAGTGTCTCCTGTGAGATAAATTTCTGTCTTGTTCTCGGGCGTTCCCCAGGCGATTCTTGAGATTCATCAAGCGTTTCACGCTTGAAGGTATCACCAACAGAAGTACAGGGTCCGCCAGAAACGTCCAGAGATTTGCCTCAGCAAACCACGGGCACACTCCCCCTCTCAGCCTGTCCAATGAAAACACACCTAGGGTGCCCATTGGACGCTGGGAGTTTTCAAGTGACCCGGAGGTAGCACAACACAGTCTATGGTCAGTACCACAGAACCCGGCATTCCTATGCACCTGCAGTTTCTGGAAAGATCTTCCAACGTATGCTAACGAGTGTCAGCGCTATGCAGAACTGGATGGGTTGGGCTTCACACCTAGGCATTGCAGCTGCCTTACTTCCTGGCTTCACACAGACACGTTGATCTCCTATAAGGAGCGGCCGAATTTTGTTACTCGTACTTACTGCGCACGTTTACTGCTGCCTACGAATAGCGCCTTGCCTCACGTTGTTACTGGTACTAACGTCTACTGTGCCCAAGATGCGCCGGTTACTTTTGTTCAGGCCATAGCTACTCTGAATTGCAACACACCCGCGCTTACGTTGTTATTTTTACAGCTCCGAGACGCTCACGTTTAATTGTAAGTTCAGGCCAAGCTATGGATAAAAAGATATGGAATTCTTGCTCACTAACTTTCTCTCTACAAAATAATGGAACTCTTATGAACTCACTAATCATGACAGATCCCAAGTAATTATCACCTTATGACATGTTACCTTCTCATAACAAATGTTCTTATTACTCTCTCATTTCTGGCATCTTAGTAAGGTACTGACAAGCAAAATTACCATCCTCCTCCTTACTGGCCTGGTACACTCATATTTCAGCCCTGAAGACGATGTGACGACCTAAGGGACCATGGAGCACCAACAACCATCTATAGAAGCATATTGGGAGCTTGCCACCAGACGCGCCATCAGCCATCAGTGCATAAGACGTTGCAGACAGCTCGAGGATGATCCGTTTGCGTGGCCGAGCGGTATGTCAGCGTATGCAGAACCGGATGGGTTGGGCTTCACACCTAGGCATTGCAGCTGCCTTACTTCCTGGCTTCGCACCTTCCTTGCCAGCCCAAGACTTTCTCTTCCGGCGACCAGCCCTTCGTCACGCCCGGAAGAATGGACACCCAAAGAATAGGGTACGAGGCACCTCCGCCAGCAGGACAAGGAGTCGCTGGATATGAGGACGTCTCGTCAGGCAGAGAGGGAGAGAGCACCAGAGGCACACCAAGACCTAGCAGGAGTCACAGGGCAGGAGGACACTCTCCTCGCCCTCCGCCCTCGGGGCGCGGGGTCACTCTCAGAGGTAACACCTTTACCTCTCAATAAACCAGCAAGACAAGACCCCCTTTAATTCACCACCACGTCCACGCTCTCCAACTCTTATGTTGACAACGAGTATGTGGTCGATCTCCTTGGCTGCATTACCCTCATCGCTGTACCACCATGTGGGTCTGAGGGCTGATACCAGGAGCCGGAAATCCTCAATTTCTGGAACCTTGCAAAGTCCGGAAAAGGAGGCAATTCTCACTACCGGCATCAGCTTCCGAACCATGGAAACCGACAGACCTCTAATAGCCAACTCGATCAAAAAAAGATCTAAGTAAAAGTTGTAGAGAGAGAATCATGTAAGGTAAACAGTAAAAATTTTAAAAAATAAATCAAACATACCGCCACTATGTTCGAATGTGTGAGATCCATTGGCATATCCCCTCGTGTGCTAATACGCATGAAAAGAATTGACAAGTATTTCTTAACTGTACGTATACATAGATATAATTGATAAGTATTTCTTAACTGTCCGTATACATAGATATGAATGACTGATTGCGTACATCCAAGAGCATAGGAGGATTTGTATTATGAAAATATTTCCCATTGTTCAACCACCGTTTCGAATGCTCTCAAAAGGTAAACAAACCAACGTGATTTCTCTTTCGTAGGTCGAGGAAATTTCAGATTATTATCTCATTTCGCTCAAGTAATTAAGAGGTATTTCCAAAAAGCGAAAGCTAGAGTAGGTGTAGAAGAAACAAACTGATAACTACGATTAACATGAGTGACTTTTTATTTATTTATTGATTAGGCTGAAGATCCTTAAGAAGAAACAAACTGATAACTACGATGAACTTGAGTTTTTTTTATTTAATTAGGATGAAGATCCTGTTGACAAGTGGCGAAAAAACATCAAATGTAACATAATAATATACCAAATAGTTACCATTACCATGTGAGTTATGAATTGATTATAGTCGCCAGCCTGTCAACCTGCTATTAATGATCACCATTCTATCAAGCGAATCTTCACAGAAAAATAACAGAATAATGCTATACCTCACTTTCAGACTACGCAGCATTGATGCAAGCCGCTTCATGATAAGGAACCTAATCAAATCTATACATTTGAATCTTAACTTTATTGAGAAGATAGACACATGCTAATCCAAGCCAATTGATGATTATATTTGGTGATATGTGAGTCCATAATTCTCTTTCTCTCGTGCAGAACGCACTGATTATGCAGTTTTACGTGTGTGAATGCTTCTTCAGCGCCAACCTTTTCATCAAGGAATACAAAATGCACGTGACCTTTCATGGAAGAGACCGATTCCTAAGGGAGTATGGAGAGGTAGGCAGAGTAGAGGATTTTTTAGGACCCAAGGCCAGTGGACCGGGTTTGAGATAAACAGATGATTTAGACTGAAGGCCCTGTCGCACTAGCACTTTTTCCGTCAATTTCTGGGGTTCCGTCTGAATTTGCAGGATTGTCTACAGACGGAGCCCCTCTCAGACCAAGACGGTCACGACAGTTTCCGGCGGACTAATTCCTCTGTTGATCTTGTGCTATTAAAAAGATGGATAGGATGAGTGAATGTAAACATAAGCTAATATTTTAGAACATTCGTATATACAATGTACATCATTATATTTCTTTAAAATAACGTAATATGTATGAGAATGTTCGTGTGATTCCCAGGACCTCTCTGCGATAGCGCCATGTTTGTTTATTCGGAAACACAAAAAATTGACGGAAAAAGTCCTAGTGTGATAGGGCCTTTAGAGATGTAAGCATGCATAGCCTTGACTATGAGTAAGTGTTTATAGATTTTGCTATTTATTACAAAAGTTGTGAGTTGCTGTTACTAATTGATATGATATCACTGGATTGTGCTTGATGTTTATTGTCCAAGTTTAATAGTTTTTAGTTTAGTGAAGATATTGGTAGAATAGTGGTACCATTGTGATTTGTTTAATGTTTTAGCAACCATATCAGGTGTTGATAGTTCTTCTGGCTCAGAAAATTGGTTTCAGGACAAAGATTGTCCAAATACTGTTAGATTATATTCATACTTGGCATCAAGGAATATGATAACAAAGTATAATACAATTGTTGTGAATAAGTATTGGCTGTTTTTCAACTGATATTTTTTTTGAGAATTAATCACTTTATTGATTTCTTATAGTGATCATGAAAATCACATTGTCATATGCTGCAACTATACATTAAGTATATAACTAATGTGAATTTCATCACTCAATTTGTAGAGTTCATGCAATGTTTATGGTGAATGGCATAATTGCCAGATACTTAAGGAACACTAGAATATGGCAGAAAGTAAATGCTAAATATTTGTAACCCAGAATATTGCTGGTTGCCCCTTCTTGTGCACATTACATGACATGACTACACACACAAGGTCTTTCTTCTCTGAACAATCGTTTTTCATTTTGTATGGGAAACATTATAGCATTGAGACAAATAAAAAAACAAGACTTAGGATATAGGAAGTTAGATATTTTTTACCTCTGATTTGGTATTTATATAGTCTCTAGCCATTTTCTCTAATCCAATCACTGACGTACATTGGGCAATTTAAAGATTTATTATGAACAGGCATTATGGTCTTTCTTTTTTCAATTTGAAATATTTAATGGAAAATGTATATTATGCTTTACAAGCCTAGTAATCATTTGAATTCTTTTATGTCTATTATTCAGAAATTTGTTTGATTATCTTCAGGTCCTGAAGATGAAAGGTTGCAGAAATCCCGAAGATCTTGTTCAGGAGGTTAGTTTCTCCTTCCCAGTACCTTGTCTTTTAATGTTGTTTTCTTTTGTTAGCTCTTCTTAGTTAACTGATTAATTGCGTTTCGTAGTATATTTATTTTTTGGAGTACTTTTTCCTTTATACATTCTCTTTCTTTTTTTATATAATGGTTGAATAATCGTTCCATATCACAAATTTGCCATTAACCATGTTCTTAGCAGATTCTGTGAATTTGGAGATGTACCTAAGGATTATACAGTAACCCTCAAACTTGTAAATAGAATCAGAAGCATAATACTTTATGCAGGCATTCTGTAGATATTCTTCTTTTTGGAAAATATCTTACTTTATGATTAATTCCATTTTTGCAATGCAGTTAGAGGAGGAAGTCTTACGGCGACAGAAGTTACAAGAGGAAAGTTGGAGACGGAGGCAGCTGGTGGCCAGTCAATACACGCAGCTCAATCCACACATCTTTACTTTGCAGGTAGGTAGAAATTGACTGCAGATGAAGTAGGAAAGTTTCTCCCTTTCTCCATCTTGTTTTCACAATTGTATTGTTCATCTTTCTACCTCTGTCAGTTTCTCTATGCCTCTCTTTTTATTTTCTTTTTTCTCTTTATTTATTCTCTTTTTCTCTTTCTCACTGTCTCTCTTTCTTTTTCTCACTGCCTCTTTGCTGCTCTTTTTCCCTTTCTTTTTGTACTTTACCTCATCCTCTTCATTTCATTTCTTTGTCCCTTTTCTCTCTTTCTTTCTCTTTCCCCATCTCTCTCTGTTTTTTCCTTTCACTTCTGTCCATTTCTGTGACTACCTCCCTCATTCCCTCCTTCTCCTGTTTGTTTGTTCTCACTCTCCCTCTCTCCTTTTCCCTCTCCTTCTCCTTCTCCTCCTCTGTAGGAGCCTGAAAGGTGGGTCCTATAAGAGTTTGTGAATGGTGAGCTAAGGGTATAAAGAACATAGCTAAGGTGTCTTTATTTTTTATTTCTCAAGAATGATATTGGTGTGGGACTGCGCATCTAAGATGAAAGAGTTACTTCATGGATTCTTGCAGGGAGTCTCGATTCTGTCCCAAGGATCAGTCGCAGGTGATGGTTTTTGGACAGATCTAAATAGTCGCTTTGAGTGCCAGCAATGGTATGTAGAAAGTTTGCTAGACTAGGAATGTATGCTTGTGTGTACATGGCTGTTTGTGTGTAATAAGATATGCATGTCAGTAATGGAATTTATAGGTAATAATAATCAATGGAAATGACAACAGTGAGAGATAGGAAATATATAATGAACAATAGATATAGCTCGGTTACACCTTCTCCCTTTTCTTTGTCTTTTCTCTTTCCTTATCCTTGTTTTCCCTCTCACTTTTTCCTCTTCTTCTTCCTCTCCATCTCTCTTGGTCTGTTTCTCCTCTCTTTCCCCTCCTACTCTCTCTCTCTCCTTCTTCCTCTCTCTTCTCTCTCTTCTCTCTCTCTCTCTCTCTCTCTCTCTTCTTCTCTCTCTCTCTCTCTTCTCTTCTCTCTCTCCTCATCTCCTCCTCCCTCCTCCCTCTCCCTCCTCCTCCTCCCTCCCTCCTCCCTCCCTCCTCCCCCTCCCTCCCTCCTCCTCCTCCTCTCTTTTCCTTCCCTCCCCTCCCTCTCTCCTTCCTCCTTCCCTTCCCCCTCCTTCCCTCTTCCCCCTCCTTCCCTTCCTCCTTCCCTCTTCCCCCTCCCGCCCTCCTCTCTCTCTC